ACCTGCCATTATAGTAGTCGCACCCCACAGCGTCGTATGTAGACAGTGGTGTGTCTGTGTTAAGGAGTTTACTGACAGTACTGCATACTTGTATATCCTTTAATAACAAAATGTAGTGAGGCAATCTGTCTTATGCGGCACATGTATGTTTGAGGAAACAGAAAACAACCTGTAGTATGACCTGTACAGTGATGGTAGACATTACATTAAGCAACTCTGATCACGTGTACAATTCTCAGCAGGTAAATGCATTTGCTCACCTTTTGTGAACCAGCTTGGTCAAGGCCTCCTGCATGTAGCTTATCTCATGTATGCCAGGGAGGAAAACCAAAACACTTCCTCTCTCTGACAAAGTCATGCCTCCCTCTTTCTCGGCCTTGCTGCTCACACAAAAATACATGTATGCATATTCAGTTAACAAACAATTAAATCCTTGCCTATTTACATGTTCAAGCAGTTCTAAAAGTTACAATACTTTGGCCTTACCTGGAATTTTTGCCCTCCATTTCATCAAAGCTCTGGATGAGACTGATGGCAAGACTGTACATATCTGCTGAGATGTATGGGTCGCCTGGATGTGCTGATTCAGTCTAAAACAGACACAAAATTCAGATACAATAGATTGGGCTTCAAGGCAGAGAACTGTACCAGCAGCAACCATTTACTCTCTCAACTACCTACCCTATGCGGAGACAGGTGGTGGAGGTCATCCAGGTAGAAATCTTCAGTGGCATAGGATGCCCCTTCCACTTCAAACACATAGGCTGGGTTCAGTTTGCCACGAATAGGAGTGGCAAAGTAGTCAGCAAACTGCTTGCAGTTAATGGTGGCTGACATAAGGATTATCTAAAACAAAGACAGACTCTTGTGAGTGAGAGTACAAGTGACTAAGCATGAGGAAGACGAAGGAAGTTTTTTAGCCGGACCCAACAGTTACCTTGATGTGGTAAGAGTTGGAACGGAGGAGTTTTCTCAAAACTAGCAGGAGAAAGTCCATTTCTGATGTGCGCTCATGAACCTTGGACAAACGCAGAGTTGTTAAAAGGTTACATTTTGAACATTCAAGAATCACTCATTAAATAATAGGATTAAATTATTCTTAAGCTTATAACAGTACCTTTTGTGGCAGAAAACTAGAAATTACTTTGGATTAAAGTATTATAAATGGTAGACAAAGACAAAGAAGAGTTGTTGCAAGAGCTGAACACTGGCATTTACTCTCCAAGTCTGATCATTTTTAGGACTGAACGCCAGTGAAGAACACTCCAACATGCTGGTCCAAAGTCTCACACAATTTTCAACTTGATTTAGATTTGGAGGCTGTGAGGCCACATCACTTTGATACTTATCAAATCATTCAGTCATCCCTTGCACCCTATGGGTGGGGGGCATTGTCCTGGAAGAATCCACTCTCATCACAATAGAAATGTTCTGGCACTATGAACAACTTGATATTGATTTGTAGTCACCCTTTATTCTAGTGACACAAGTGTCCAAGGCAATTAACTGCAGGGACCAAGTGGTAAGGTACTTTTTTTTGACTATTTCACCTGTCTGTCATCAGATTTAATATTTGTACTTCCCCCAAAATAACTAAAAAAAGTAAATAAACACAAATTCGCCCTTTTTTTGGCAGTAACTAACAGAGAAACATATAAACATGAAAAATTTGACATCTGGTTTATGCACCTCATCCACAAAAATGTGGGAGAATTCAGTGAGGGACTTGGCCTGAACCAGTTTTTGCAGCAGCACTCCTGTAGTCATGTAGATTAGTCGGGTATGCTCAGTTGCCATCTTCTCCAGGCCAATCTGAACAAATATATACAGGAGTTGCATTCACAAACTTGTCAATTAAATACATATTTGCATTTTCGTAAAAATCCACAGGGAACGTAGTTGATTTGTTGTTTGCTAACTGGAAAAGTCTATAAAGGCACCTTCATGACAGGGCCTAAAATCTCTGGAAGGCATCCATTTGTTCTCGTCTTTTGCTTTTTCAGGTTTTTTTCTTACTTTTATTAACCTTCATTTATACAGGTAGTTCCATTGAGACTCAATGTCTCATTTACAAGAGAGACCTGTTCCAGACAAACATTAAAATTACAACAATAAAAGAAACAACAGCTTAATTTGTGTAATGTACACAGTCATATCAAAGACAAGAACAACTTCCCAGTGATGATTTCACAAAAACGTTTGTATGTCTTTCGAAGTCTGCAAGTAAAATCAATTGAGAGAGACTCAAATCCATCTGTAATGTATTCCATGACGATGGGGCAGAAAAAGAAGAATGCCTTTTACCCAAGCTCTATATGAACTGATGAAACTTGAAAAATCCTGTCATCTGCAAATACCAACTTGCAGATAATCTTTTTATACCATCTGCAATTAGATTTCTTTAGAATTTAAGTTTTTGTACTGTTTTGCTGCATTATAGCACTACTTGGATTTATTGAGCTCCAAAAAACACAACAAGATTACTTTTTACTGCCTCAGGAAGGAACAGCAGAGGCCACAGAGGAAGTACACTTCCTCTGCTGTAGCTTTAGGCTTAAACTTTTACAGGGTTTTAAAAACTGATGTCTGCAATGCCAAAATGACTATTTGTGGTTCTGACTGGAGAAAACATCAGTGAACCTCAACAAAATCGATTGCGTATCCATGTTACACTTTTTGCTTTGCCAACTTGCAGCTAAACAAATATATAGATATAACTCTCCCCTATTTTAATGTTATAATGGAAATTATACCATAATGTTTAGTTTCTGTTGCATAAGCTAAGAATTTTTTCTCCTTCTAAAACTGACTATTTATCATTGCTCCCACTGTCAGTGACATCATCCTTAACTCCAGAGGTCTGCATCAAGCGGAGGAGACAACAGTTATTATTAGACACACAGTTTCAAAGCTCTGCACAACACAGTCAGACATCCTAGCAACAAAGCATACAAGAGCTTGTTAACACATGCATGCAAACACTCTGAAGTTGTGAGAAAGATAATAATGAATGCTCTTTGTCTAAAGTTTGAATCAATATGGGTCATTGTATCTTGGTTTTCTACTACTGCTACATGATCGAAGAGCAGTGTATGCAGTTTAAGAAAATCACATTCTATCCTAATACTGCACCAACCTGATATCCCACCAGACTACCCAGGGTACACTTCCGCTGTTTGGCAACCCATCGAGCAATACTGGTGGCTCCAATTTTACGTGGTTGGGTGACTACAATGTTGCATGAGGCATTTTTCTCATTGTAATAGTCCAGAATGTACTGTGGCAGCTGGGTGGTCTTGCCACTGCCTGTGGCTCCTTGAATGATCACTACAGAGTTGTTTTCTATGAGGGAAATCAGCTGGAAACAACCGCAAACAGACACACACATAAAAAACACAAAAGGACACGTGCACCGTTAAAAAGAAAGGCATTTGATAAAAAAAAAAAAAAGGAAGGACATTTAGCTACTAACCCATATCATCGAAAAAACAAATGAAATTTGGAGAAAAAGTTATGAAATTGTTGGGCAGATGGATGTGGTAAGCTGATTTATGGCCTAAATTTTAGACTTTATAATCTGCATGAAGAAAGTCCAGCTTAAATGACAGCATTATCTCCTAAAACACACACACTACTCTGTATTAGTCAACAAATAATAATAGACTAGGGAATTTGAAGTTAGCTGTTGTCCATCAGCATCAAATAACTTTGTTGTAATGTTCATCTTGAGCAAACAGCAAAATCTTAAGTGCTCAAGTGTCCTGGGGACATAAAAAAAATTTCAGTAAAAATGACGAACAGAACCTCGGGATAATGAAAGTGCACTACAGGACCATCAAGCTAAGTCAATCTCTTACCTCCTGTCTGTTTTTGGCTATGGGCAAGTCTGGATACTCGTAGCTTGTGAGTGGAGGAGGATTAGCATAACCTAGTGAAAAGAAAAGTTGCAGGAGTAAAAGGAAAAATAAAGTTTTAAACTGATTAAGAATTAAGCTTTCTGTATATCCCAAAATACACAACCTAGGCTCAGAAAGGCTATGACAAAATTAGTACTTACGCACTGCAGGTTCTGGTTTTTGCAGCCTCTCTCCATCAGAGATCACAGGTTTTGGGCTGCCATGCTCAAGAATCTTTGCTGGACTGTAAGAAAACCAAATCTGAGAATTACAAACAAATCTAATGTAGTAACACCAAAACTGTACAAGATACGATTAGCTGTTTTGGACTAAAAGACTTTAACGTTTAAGCTTTCAGTTTCGACCTTTATACCGCAATTTCCTCACAACGCAAAGACAAATATATGTACTGGTAAAAACAAGACAAGTTAGAAGCCATGATTTATCAAAATTATCAATATTATATGAAAATCAGTTTCCTTTGAGTGTAAGAATTAATTTCAGATCATTACAGGAACTGTGAGGTTGAATATAATGCTAGATGTTGTAGCATTTTTCTCAACATCAACAAAGATAAAAAACAAAATGAACAGGAAAATGCTCCCCTTCTTTATACGTGGTAATCCATGTACAAAACCCAATTTTTTTTTTAAAGAAAAAAGCTTAAGCATGGCAATAAAAGAAAAAAAGGGGGCTGTATAACCAAACATAAGTCAACATCAGTTAGTCACAGTTAAACTCACAGATTCATAAACCTTTTGAAATATTTTTTGTTTTTAAACATACATTTTCTAGAAGAAAGTTTCACATTTTTTCCTCTGCATATTTCACTTCTTAATGCAATTTCTAACTAAGTTTTTGCATCCTCTCTAATTTCCCTCTGTCAGCTTGACCAGGCCCACAGCGCTGCAGCCTGAGGAGCATTCCCGGTTGTGTGTGTGTTTATGCATGTGTGCCTCCTGCACTCTTAGCGAGGAGAGGATTTTATCACAACAGCAGACAAAAACCCTGACAGTACTAGGAGCTCAAATGCACACCCACGACTTGTGCGCACACACGCACCCTCGTCCTCTCTCTTTCTCTCCAATGCACACGTTTCGTGCAAGCTACAAAGCAGCTGACCCTACAACAAAAGCTGCACACTGCACAGAGGAGAGTGGGGTGAAAGGAGAAGAAAAGTGACAGCTCTTAGTCAGTTATCTGTGTGCGTGTGACTAACTCTCCTGGAAAAAGTCTGCATGACAGGCGCAGTGAGAGGACAGGACAAAAAACTACAAGACAAAAACATTTGCAACAACAAAGCAAGGGAAGGATTGCTGCCGGACGTAGTCAACAGTGAGAGGAGTAAAGTTTGCACAGGCAGATCCATGGAGACAAGACGCTGGAGGCTCTACTCTGTGAAAAGCTCTTCTTTGCCCAATTTCTAAAAAGCTCAGACAAGAGTCAGCAGTGCTGTTTCACCAGTAAGTACATTTCTTTCTTTTCTTATTCATCCAGATATTATTGTGATAACAATTTTTTTTAAATTTTTAAAATCTGATTTGCAGCTTACTAAGCGAAAACCCTTAAGGTTTTCTGTATGGCTGACCTCTGACCCCACAGGCAGTTTAATCCATCTGAATCCCAGGTGGAAACTCAGCTGATCTATCAGCTTGAATAAAAGGGCCAAATACGCACACCTGGGACATCAGCCTTGAAATCAAAGTAGCCATCAGGCAGGGATCAAAGGACAGAATAGCTATGGGATGATCATTTTTCAATGTCAAGCTTAAATTCTGAATTATTAAAACGTCACAAAGAGTCACAGACTAGATTTCAGTTATAAACTAGATTTACCACATAAAATTAATAAAACATTCTAATCAAATAATTTTCATTCAACCTGAATAGTCAAACCCATTTCAGTACAACTGCAAGATTTTTGACAATTAGCAAATTAGCATTTCCATTTTCAAGAAAAATTCCTCTGGTTAGCGGTTAATTTTGACTTGAAATACACATTTTGGGAGGTGATAACTTGGGTCACAGTTAAGGAAAGTCTGCTATCTTAAAAGAAATGGATCCTGTTTTTTTTGTTTGTTTTTTTTTTGGGGGGGGGGGGGGGGGGGGATTTAAATAGCAAAAGAATTATTTTATATTACAGCATGTTAAATCCCCAGAAAGTTTTGGGGGTTTTTTTTGTTTTTTAAATGTAATCACAGTGTATTACATTTTCCTTTAAGGGAAGACCAAAACCTCTTTGGTACCCACAAACATTTTTAATAAAGAGGGAAAAAACCCATTATTTTTTTCTAAAGGTTTTCAGAGAAGAGTTTTAATTTCCCTGGCTTACCTCAGTGTTTTTTCCTCATCTGCCTGACTTAAGCAGTTCCTCACTTGCTGTTATGCCGTCCTGTCATTTGCAGGTGCAACCGTTATAGAAATTTGTTTTAAGCAACGTCTATTCCAGTAATTCAGATGATTATTATGATTCTGTTGTGTTGTGAAAATCCTGTCTTGATGCTAAAGATAACTAATTATTCTAATGTCTTCAGCTTTTAAAGACAGCGTGCTGTGAATGCCATGCCTCTGTTCAGCTGGATGAAATGGTCGCATGAGACAAGAGTGCAGGCTCAGGATGAAACACCATCTCTGAAAATCTCAGGGGGGTTACCCAGCCGCATGCTGATCACAGAGCTCCTGTGGCATGTGGAAGAGCGCGAGCGGCTGGCGAGAGAACTGGAGCGTGAGCATAGGATGGCTCACAGCACTCTGGGTCTCCACTGGTTTCAAAAGTACCCCAGGTTGCGGACCCTCATCCCCTCATCAGAACTACAACAGCTGGAGTTCTTGTGTGCCCAGATCCCATCTATCCAAGCAGCCACCGTCCTCTCCAGGTGTTTAGTAGTACCCATGCCTTCTTCTGTCCTCACATTAGTAAGCTGTCAACAGATACTAGCTGCTACTGCATCAACAGGGCCTGACAGCAGGCAAAGCAGAGAAGACCCAAAGGGAAGGGGAGCTAGGGCGAGCTGCCAAGAAAGCCATTATGTGTTATTGTCACAGACACAGGCGATACAGGGTGTTAACATGTGAAGGTGAAGGACGCCCTGTAAGGGTGAGTGAAGCCAGGCTGCCGGGGTTGCCACTCGTCTGTTAGCCAGTATGGAAAAATAGCTGTTAGACATGGTTGAGCAATGAGCACTGTGACCTACTTACATATTCCCCATAAAACTCTCTACCAGTTCACTACTGTGTGCTTACATAACATCTTAGCCAAGAAAAACATATTTAATAAGATGTGTTATTATGCTTTTATCATTTACAAAAATCTTCGCTGTTGTCCCAGATATGTCATTTTTTGAAACTGTGAGAGAAAACAGATAAAAGCACACAGGTCCAACATTTTAGGTGAAGCACAGAAACTTCACATTAGCAGGCTGACACCATGCTGATGGAAATATTATTTCTTAGTTTGTAGATACTCAACTCCTCTGCTTGCATCTTATGGGACTGACATGGTTGTACATTTGTAGACCATCATCTACATGCTGTAGCCTTGTACTGCCAACAAAGGACAGTGTCAGTTCTAGTAGTTGCCACTTGAGTATGGCTCAAAAAGGAAGTCATTCCCTAAAGCAGGGGTGTCGCACTCCAGGCCTCGAGGGCCGGTGTCCTGCAGGTTTTAGATCTCACCCTGGGTCAACACACCTGAATCAAATGATTAGTTCATTACCAGGCTTCTGGAGAACTTCAAGACATGCTGAGGAGGTCATTTAGCCATTTAAATCAGCTGTGTTGGATCAAGGACACATCTAAAACCTGCAGGACACCGGCCCTCGAAGCCTGGAGTTCGACACCTGTGCCCTAAAGGCTCCCATTTAAATTTAACTTAGCAACATTATAAAGCATCTACAGCTAGTTTCCCCTTTATAAGTCCTCTGAGTGGGCTGAATTTGTTTATAACCAACTGGATAACCAAGTTAGGAGTGTGGTCTCAATAATTGACAGGTTGGGCAACTAGAGCTGGAATCTGTTAGGGCTCATCCACTACTGAAGGTTATTAAACTGATCCTCTTCAACATCTTTGTGCTGTTATTACCTTGTGCCTTTGTTAATGTACAGACCCTCCCAGCAGTGAGTGCTAAAGTTTTATGAGTATTTACAAAGATGGCGCAGTGACAAGATTGCTTGTTAGAGTGACTCTGATAGAGTGACTCTGATTTTTTCCGACTGACTCTATTGCATATGCATTTCTGAGAGTTCCTTTCTCAAGGCACAAAATATAGGGAATTGAATATTTACATCACAAGCAAACCCGCAACTCTGAGAGCCATTTACACCTGCTATTTTGACCTGTTTAGTAAATCTGGCACTTAATTTGTTAATAAGCACTAATTAGTCAATATGTATGTATTTTCACTGAATCTGTACAGTTTATGAACCCTTGTTAACCTTAGTTAGCTAAGGTTAGTAAGCATGGAGGTAAATTCTGGCTCCATGCTAATGTTAAGGCAATAAAATGTGAAATCTAAACCTCTGGGTGAGGGCACAATCACTACACGGCTGCTGCTATGGAGACAAAAGTCATAATATAGAAATAACATCTCTGTCAAAGCTTTTCAAAACTTGAGTAGATTTCATGTCCACTGTCTCTAATGTAAGAGGTCAAACTTTACCACCAACCCCTTCAGCAGAAAGAATAATAACCAGATAGGAGTGTGTGACTATTTCATAAACTACAGTGATACTGTAGGAACAGAGACATATTTCAACGTGGCTTAGTGTGACTGATTTTCAAGTCAGAGACGAGAGGACAGAGCGCAAAGGAAACAAGAAGGAATAAATGATGAGGAAATGAGAAAAACCTCTCCAAGAACTGTTTAATTAACTATAATGTTGTATGTTTCCACAGGTTTCGTGAGGTGCTTGCCACTAACAACATACGACCCTGGGAGCTGGCATCTGTGTTTAAGCAAATACTAAAGGACTTCCTGAGCCAAAGGGGATATGATGAAGAGGATGACCTCTCAGTGCAGCCGGTGCAGTTCCAACCCATGGAGGCTTGGACCAGCCGGTACAAAATGAAGCAGGGGTATGTCACACCCACTGTCCCCAACTGTGGCGACCATCCAAGGGAAGAGATCCCAACGGTCTCTGGATACGTGGATCGGGTCATGCGCCACTCTGGTTCATTCACAGCACACAGGGACTGGGACCTTCCATATTATTATCCAGTACCTCTCAGGTCCAAAGGTGCTTACAGCACCACACTGTGAAAGGACAACTCTTTAACCATCTGCAACCAACAACATGGAGACCAAATCGCAATATGCGTCTTAGATATAGACATTTCACTAGCTTTACCAAAATAGCACTAGGCTAGGTGTTATATGTACTCAAATGTTTAATGGCAATAACTAATTCTTATCCCTACTTCACAGCCTGAGTTGTTTAGTTACTCCTTATTCTAAACCTTCAATTGAACAGCTGGAGATGCATTTCAGAGATGTCAAGAACCTGGAGTGATTTTAATAGTAAAAGCACTAGATGCCTTTTTGGCTTTTGGCTAAGCAGAATCAGATCAGAAACTTTATTGTCATTGTCATGAGAACAACGAATTAAGTGACAAACTGACTGAGTTGGTCAATTTGTGGTAGCTCATTAAGAGCTCAAAATGTCCAGCTTTTGGAGTGAATACATGTGTAAAAACATGACTGGCTCACATATAGTTAATGCAAAGATGTAAACACTCCACGTTACCTTATCTAACACAAGTCAGTCAACTTTCCTGTTATTGCTGGCCAAAACCTCTTGGGGTGGCAAACATTTTATATGCAGGAAAAACCCTGGAAATCTGAGTGAGCACTCTTTAATGTAAATGTTTCAGACTGAAAAATAAAAAAAACATTGAGCTAAACATTTTATATAGATTAGGCAGAACTCATCTTGATTTGTGTAGGACTTGTTTTTGTTCTTGTGTATCAGTGTTTAACTTCCTTTCGGAGTCCTAAATCCCTTGACAAACAGCAGCTATTGTTCTGTGCTACAGTTAAGACACCCTTCAGGAAGAAGTGTAGCAATGCACTATTTGATGGTCATTAAACTCAATCAACCAACTTGAAAAACAGATCAACGTGTAAATGGTAATAAATAGTATGATTTCCATTTAGCTTATCAATATACTATTGGACAAAAAATATTATTAAGTTGTTGCCTTGACTAAAGAACGTCCTTTATAAATAAAAACAAACAAACATTAAAATAAGATTTACTATAATTCAGTTTGCATTAGTGAAGGCCTCAGTCGGATCAACACTGATAATCTAACCATTAATTTTTGATAATTCACAGGTAATGAAAACCTTAAAATAAAGAAAAACATGCAAAGACAAAATGATATTTTTCACTTGTCTGTTTTAGATGACCTGCATCAAACAACATGGTAAGAAAATGTGGGGACTTATGCAGTCCATCTTTGGGACTGTTTATCAGACACACATCAACAGCATCCACCCTTATAATATTAGGTCAGTGGTGGGGAACTCCAGGCCTCAAGGGCCGGTGTCCGGCAGGTTTGAGATATCACCCTGGGTCAATACACCTGAATCAAAACTAGTTCATTACCAGGCTTCTCGAGAACTTAAAAGACATCTCGGGCAACTCATCGTGTACCTGGAGTCAAGTGTTTTGACCAATTCAATATAACTATATATATTTTTAGACACAAGTTGTAACGGCCGCCAATTTTCTTTGTACGAGTTTATTATATGGCGTGCTGCGGGGAAAAGTCTGTTCTAACATTTAAGTCTAAGGTTTATTTTGAGAACCTGAGGGCTCTTTTTTGCTTCTCATCTGTAAACTCTCTCACGTGATTCTTGCATAGGTGGTAGAAGAGGTTTGTCATGCTTACGTCTGTGGTGGGGACCTGTTTGTGGTATTATTTGCAGAGTACAGATTTCTGGTCCATGTCAGACTTTTCATAACCAAACTATCTCCATGCTAGAGAGTTAGCCCCTTGTTTAGGAATAAGATCCTCAATTAGTTTTGACTGGTCCTTCCGTTTGGGGCTACCTGTTCTGCCTCATTTTTACTGTCCATGCTGGTATTCTCTGTGCCTGCATGGTCTTCCAAATTCAGTTGAGGAGGCAAGTTGGCCATTTAAATCAGCTATGTTGGATCAAGGACACATCTAAGACCTGCAGGACACCGGCCCTTGAGGCCTGGAGTTCCCCCACCCCTGTATTAGGGGATCTAGTGTAAGATTTTAAGAGGAATCTGGTAGCTTTGGTAGAGCAAATATTTGTTACATTTCTTAAAACAGTGTGCATTTGCTTGGATGACACCGGAGTTTTTACCCTTATCTCAATTTGAATACTTAAAAAAAGACCACTGGCAGTGTAAAAACAAAGGTTAAAATACATTCAGATTCGAGGTTTTAGGAAAACCATACAAAAACGTGCAGCTGTATGGATGAAACCATTAAAATATCCCCCCGTTTGTTTTCTACAGCTCCGGAATAATTTGTGTTAATTTTGGTCGTTACGCATTTACCCATTACGGTGACATTTAAGCATGCCTACAATGTGATTTCTTCTATTTGAACTTCACTTTCCAATACTTGCTGCCAAGCTGAGACATGATGTATATGTCCGCCAACGACTTAAAACACTTGATAAGTTAAAAAACAATTTAACGGTATCACTTTGAGCAGCTAAATCTAGCAACAACAACAAAACCATACGCCATTAATTTTTCTAAAATATTTAAGTGTCTAACACCTGAATGCAAAGCTAGACCATGCTAGCATGCTACTTAGCTTAAGGTCAACCACGTTTACGCTAACTAAACCATCATACCTGCTCTCTTTCGACGATTGTTCATCGTCTGACTTCCTCTCAGCCACTTCTTCTGTGAGTTTAATGTTCGCAAACCTGTTCCCTGAAGTGAACCAGTCCGATATTTGTTCAGCGGTAAATATTTTCTTCATTTTGCGCCAGTAATTGTATTTTTTTTTCCACTTCGCTGTGATAGCGGGTAACACGAAGACGAAAGCACGTGAGGCAGGCGCAGCTCTAAGGTCTCCCACTGGCGGTTGGAATAAAAATGGCAAGTCTACCTGTCTCTCTGTTTTTTAAATGAACCTTATAAACAAGTTATCAGCACCCACAGAAGATACACCACGAACAGGGTAACCAAAATTGTTATAGTTAATACTGTACTAGTCATAGTATTATTGTTAATTTTTCTGCTCTTGGTTTGTTTTTACATGACTAACAAATAAAAACATTTTAGTTAACTGTAATACCTTTGGTATGTGGAACTAGGCAAGAAGATAATTATTGTGAATGCTTGAAAAGCATTCACAGTATTGTTGTTGTAATCTTTATTATTATTATTATTATTATTATTATATTTTATTCTGTATTCCGTACGTTTTTTGTAATCCTACTCCTTCAAAACCGTTCAACTTAGAAAAACCATTCCAACACCGTTAGATTCCTATTCTTTTGGACAACACTGCTTCCATTTTTCATATTTTTAACATTTATATTTTTAATTTTATTCAACTTTATTCAACAAAAATTTATAATGTATTTCAATGGGGAGACCCTTCAAATCCTCATTCAACTTACTCATTTTTAAACTCTTACTACTTCCACATACATTGACATAGAGCCACCATTCAAACTTTAAAACGAAGACAAGACATTCAACTATTCAACTTGCATTTATCTTTTCAATATCTATTATACTTTTTCTTCAGTTCCAGTTTAAGTTTCATGATGTTTTTTCACCCGTTTCAGAGTTTATAATGGGTGTGTATGGGACGGAATGTTGGGGCTAGAGTGAGGCAGCTCAACTGCTAGAGTGAGAGGAGCAAAAAAAATAATCTTAAAATCTTTTTTAAAACTGCTGCTGTGTCCGCAGCGTTTGCTCTACAGGTATGATTTTACCCTCAAAACGTAGCCATGGCTGTCCTCTTTCATCCAATGTGTTTACTATTGTACTAGGTGTTATGGTTCTTTCATAAATGTCACCAATGCACAGCCTCCTCCCTCCAACTCTTCCATAGACTCTAATGTTAAAATGGCTCAGAAGGTTCGTTTGAAAATCAGAAGAGCATGGTGTCTTTCCACTGTCACCACGTCCATATAATAAACTCCACAGACATGAAAACTGAGAATTTGGTAGACTAGACATTGCTGTCGCTCACAGTGAAAGAATTTTGTCAATACGACTTTTACTTTTCATTTGGGAACGATTTGTTTCGGCCTGACTTTTCTGTTCATTTTAAGCAGCAAAAGTGAGGTGCATGTCTGTGTACGTGTGTATGGAGCCATTGGGTGCGGTCACTATAGCAACCAGGCTCACACCTGCCTGCTTAACGAGCTCTCTCTCTCACTCTGCCAAAATTAATCTTAAGCACTTCTCTTTCAACTGCTGCTGTGTCCACAGTGTTAAAGCCATCATTTTTACCCTCAAAACGTCGCCATCGTTGTTCTTTTTCCAACATCTTGTCTTTCAAAGCTCAGAGATGTAAACTTTTTAAACTGTGTGGGTCCAAGTGGAGGGATCACATTTTAGTCATTCAGTGATTCAAAGAATATGACCTTTTAATATTCTTTCAGATGTTTTCTGACTCTAAATGTTCTTTTCTCATTTCTTAGGTTTTTCTAATTTACAATTAAAACATTTTCAGCTTTTTTCCAACTTCTTCTTCTGTGTAACCTTCAGCTTTTAGCAGTTCAGCACCTTTGTTTTCAGGTTAAATTCGGGGTTTTTTTTTTTTATCTCATTCAAAATTTTTAACTTAAATTCAGTAATTATTTCATTTCAATGCATACATTCAGATTCAAGCATTCACACTGCAGTTTCTTCAGAAAATGCACTTTCTAATTATTGTATACGATTTGTCACAATAATGATAGCAACCAAATAAAATATTTCTATATTAAAGAACAAAATCAGAGAAATTACTATCAATTATGACTTACCTGTTTAGGTGATCTCCACTATCTATTTTTTAAACCACTGAAAGCTAATTCGCTTGGATGTTTTATATCTAAAGACATACTTGACAGCTTAAAATCAGATTTATGTTTGTGCACTGTCTCATGTAAAATGCCAAACAAATTTCTTAAACAGATGTAAGCATTTTTGTTAACTTAATATTTAGCATAGTGATTTCTAAGGTGTGGGCTTGGATGTCCCACTGGGGCATGAATTTAGTGAAGTAATCAGAACTCATAGAACAAATCCAAATGACTTAAGTTACCAGGTATTCTGTCCCATATTTTCTGTCATTAGTGAGTAAACAGGT